ACAACCTCTTCATAAATGATGCTGGGAAAACTGGACAGCTACATGTAAAAGAATGAAATTAGAACACTTCTTAACACCATACACAAAGATAAACTCAAAATGAATTAAAGACCTAAATGTAAGACCAGAAACTATGAAACTCTTAGAGGAAAACATAGGCAGAACGCTGGATGACATAAATCAAAGCAAGATCCTCTATGACCCACCTCCTAGAGTAACAGAAATAAAAACAAAAGTAAACAAGTGGGACCTGATTAAGCTTAAAAGCTTTTGCACAGCAAAGGAAACTATAAGCAAGGTGAAAAGACAACCCTCAGAATTGGAGAAAATAATAGCAAGTGAAACAACTGACAAAGGATTAATTTCCAAAATATACAAGGAGCTCATACAACTCAATGCCAGAAAAACAAACAACCCAATCAAAAAGTGGGAAAAAGACCTAAACAGACATTTCTCCAAAAACATACAGATGGCTAACAAACACATGAAAAGATATTCAACATCGCTCATTATTAGAGAATGCAAATCAAAACCACAGTGAGTTATCACCTCATACCGGTAGAATGGCCGTCATCAAAATGTCTACAAACATAAATGCTGGAGAGGGTGTGGAGAAAAGGGAGTGCTCTTGCACTATTGGTGGGAATGTAAATTGGTACAGCCACTACGGAAGATGGTATGGAGATTCCTTAAAAATCTAGGAATAAAACCACCACATGACCCAGCAATCCCACTCCTAGGCATATACCCTGAGGAAACCAAGATTGAAAAAGACACATGTACCCCATTGTTCATTGCAGCACTATTTACAATAGCTAGAACATGGAAGCAACCTAGATGTCCATCAACAGATGAATGGATAAAGAAGTTGTGGTACATATACACAATGGAATATTACTCAGCCATAAAAAGGAACACATTTGAGTCAGTTCTGATAAGCTGGATGAACCTAGAACCTATTATACAGAGTGAAGTAAGTCAGAAAGATAAATATCGTATTCTAACTCATATATATGGAATCTAGAAAAACGGTACTGAAGAATTTATTTACAGGGCAACAATGGAGAAGTGGACATAGAGAACAGACTTATGGACATGGGGAGAGGGGAGGAGAGAGTGAGATGTATGAAAAGAGTAACATGGAAACTGACATTACCATATGTAAAATAGATAGCCAACGGGAATTTGCTGTATGGCTCAGGAAACTCAAACAGGGGCTCTGTACCACCCTAGAGGGGTGGAATGGGCAGGGAGATGGGAGGGAGGTTCAAAAGGGAGGGGATATATGTATACCTATGGCTGATTCATGCTGAGGTTTGACAGTAAACAACAAAATTCTGTAAAGTGATTATCTTTCAATAATAAATAAATTAACTAAAAGAAAAATTGAACAAATTGGGCTACGAAGTTTTGCCTCATCTGCCATATTTACCTGGCCTCTTGCCAACTAACTTCCACTACTTCAAGCATCTCAACAATTTTTTGCAGGGAAAACATTTCCACAACCATCAGGAGGCAGAAAATGCTTTCCAAGAGTTTGTCAAATCCCGAAGCATAGACTTTTATGCTACAGGAATAAACAAACATTTCTTGTTGGCAAAAATGTGCTGCTTGTAATGGTTCCTATTTTGATTAATAAAGATATGTTTGAGCCTAGTTAAAACGATTTAAAATTCATGATCTGAAACAGCAATTACGTTTGCACCAACCTAATAGTTGTGAGGTAGGGGAATTGCCTTAACATAGTCTTGTCCAAATGCTCTCCTAGAGCTGAACTCCTTTACAATTTTTCAACACATTCATTCCCCAGCAATGGAAGCTTTATACTTAGTGGGTTCATATATTCCAGTGCTGTTGTAAAGATTTTTGGAAGCTCATTTCTTTAACAGCTCCTCTTGGCTTATTTAACTGATTAAAAAATGTTTTATCATTAAAGTTTTCAAACGTATACAACAAATATATATTCCTTTATTAGAGGTAAATACACTGATAGTCCATACTGACTACTCAAACCCAACAGTTAAGATTTTGCCACACTTGCTTCACTATGTCTCCCTTTTTCTTGAAGTCATTTAATCCAAACATTATAAACACATTACTGTTATCATACCTCACAATATTAATACAAATAGAAATTCTATCATCAAATATACAATTTAGCATTAAAGTTCCCTAAATGTCTCTGGAATATCTTTATTGTTTATTTGCTCAAATCAGGGTCAAGACAGGTCCACACTTGACAAGAGGTGGCTAATTTTTAATTATAAAAGCAATACATGCTCATTAAAAAAAAAATCAAATGATTCAGAAATAACGTGAAAAGTAGAATTCCCTCTCTCCCCATCACCCAATTTCCACGTTCCACTGTTAGGTTTCTTGCATAACCTAGAAAAATTTAACACATATATAAACATGTCTTCACAAATAGGATAATACCATATATATGTTCCATAATTTTTTCATAATAAAAATCAGTACATCAAGATCTATCTTTAACAGCTATAAGGCAACTCCTATACGTATGTGGCAAAATTTAAACTCATACTGATAGTCACATGTAGGTTGTTTTCATTGGGCCATTTTGCTACAGTAAATGTCATTTTGCAGACACCTCTGCCCACTTGTTCAAATATTGCTGAGGGATAAATTTCTAGAAATGGAATCGTTGGGTGAAAGTGTGGGCATGACTTTTATTTGGATTGGATACATATTCATCAAGAGTGAAAAATCCTGTTTTGCCCACACCCCCACTAAATCTGATAGGTAAAATGTGGGTCCTGACTACCTTTCAGATTTCCTCTGCCAAGCAGTTTTCTTTCTTTTTTTAAATTTTATTTTATTTTGGATCTCTCAGCAGTTTTTAATTAGAAATAGTTAATATCAGCAAAGCGTCAGTATAAAAATTTTTTTAGTTAAGTACATAGCAGAGAACTAAAAATATCCAGAAAATTTTTAATAATATATCCAGAAAATTAAAGCTTCATAAAAGCTCCCTCACATTTCAAATAAGGGAGGCTAACTTCTGCAGTAACTCTCACTTGGGTGGGTCTGGCCTAAACAAATCCCTCAAAGGGACTTTGGAGAAAAGTTGTTTCTTTAGGTAGGGAATTATAGCATACAAGAGAAAATTAAAATTTGATAACTATCAGATTTTCCCTGGATCTGTCCTGTCATACAGAAGCCACAAACCATATGCAGCTAAATGCACTTAAAATGTGGTTAATGCAACTGTAAAACTGAATTCCTAATTCCTAATTTTTATTAAATGTAAAAATACTAGAAAATATTTAAGATGCTTTGAATAACTTGAGTATGTGAGTATATTTTTCCACAGTAAATTTTATGAAATTTAAATACAAATTATGTCCGATAAAAACCTAGAATCTGAACTGACATGTGTTTTAAGTATAAAATACACACCAGATTTTGGAGACTTAGTATGAAAAAAAGAACATAAAATAGCTTATCAATAATTTTTATAATGATTATATATTGAAATGTTTAATATATTATGCTAAATAAATTATTGAAATTAATTTTACCAGATTTTTTTTAAAGAGAATCTATCACACATTTTAAAATTATGTATTTGACTCATGTATTTCTGTTAGGCAGTGGTGTTCTAGATTAGAATAACTAACTGGGGAGACTCCATTTTTCTGGGGAGAAGATTCATAGCATTCCTCACCAATGTGAAGTCCTGTGGAGGGGAAGAATAACCGTACTATAAATAGAACTATAGATATCCTCTAGCTCCTTCTGAGGCTGCTTTCAAAACACCTTAAAGCATTTTACTAAGTCACTGTTACTGGCCCATGAAAGAGAGATTTTCAGCAGCCATCTCTTCTGATATTCATCCACTAGCCAATCAGCTTGGAGCAGGCAGAGGTGTGCCTGTATTGAAAATCTTAGCTTCCCAACAGGCATTAGTGTTCCAGAGGAACATTATAACCAAAGAAATGCATCGGGAGGATTAATCTTTCCATCTTCTGCCCCTCTCCTCACACCCACATCCTCTACTTGAAAATAAATAAATAAATAAAAGTATTATGGGACAAAAAATGTGAAACTGTTGCATGGCTAATTAAAAACTAAAAGTAAAAACTGCTGACCCAAGAAGGTCATGGGGAATACCATGAAAGTCAAGTTAGCAGTGAGGAAATTAAAAGGAATATTTACTTTTGAATAATAAAGCATTCCTTGTTACTCATCTCATGAAGTTAGTTAAGTGATGGTTCTATCCCCATAAAGCAGGAGGAGAGCAGTTTTCATTTGATTTCTCACAGTGCATTGTTTCTGTTTCTCTCAGAAAGCTGAACACCATTGCATTCTCTTTTCACATATTACATATCTCTTTTCACATATTACATATCAGTTCCCAGACTTACTAGACCATAGATTCATAACTGAGAAAGACAGATTAGGATGGAGACTGCCAGTGTCAGGACGCGGCAGAATTAGGAGAGGGTAGAGGTATGCATGTTTTGATTCTTGAAAGGGAGTACAAGCTAAAACAAGCTTGAGGATCTCTGCCCTAAATCTACATTGCTTCACACTAGAGCAACAAATGTAGTACAAAATGTCAGCTCGCTTGTGAGCAAATCAAGACGCTAGGAATTCTCTGAACTGGAGGAGGTAACACTGACTAACATGCCCTGTGTGATAGTCCACTGGGTTCTTTAATCAAAGTAAGCTGACTTTAAAGATTGACTTTAGCAAAATAGGAGCTTTCCTACCTACTACTTAAAGCATGCCTATACTTATCACCAAAAGTAGGTACACTTGAAAAGTAACCACAGCATTTCAACTCAGTGATCTTACAAGGCAGAAAAAATTCTTAGGTCACTTTCTTACAGCCACTTTTCATCCACAAGGACAGCAACAGTCATAACCTTTTTGAAACAAGATAAGTAGAAAGCCAGATTATTAGGAATCTTCAGTCATGATTTCACCACCAGTCCCAGTAATTTCTAGGTGCATGGGAGCAGCAGAGTTGAGGATTAGGGACAAGTTGGAAATTTCCTTAACCTGTTGGCAGCAGTCACCACGTAGAAGTGTTTCTTAAGCGGGGGAGAGAGAAAAAGAGGAGGGAAGCATATTGTTAGACCAATTACTTTAAGAAGAAACAATAAAAGGACTACCTTAAATTTAGCCACTTGAGTTTGTTTAAAATTGATAACTAAAGGGGAAAAGAAGATTCTAGCAAAACTATAGTAAAACAGTCACATGACTTTCTGGGACATGTCTGGAGCAAGTCTGAAGTGAGAAAATATGTTCTCCTGCCCTTCTCATGTGAAAAATGGAGCACTCTAGAATGGTATTTTTTAAATTGTAATGCAGTGAGTCATGAAATCACTGTGAGTGATGTCATGAAATCAAATTCATGGAGCATGATTGGAAAATTTTTAATGAAACTAAATATCATAGAGTAGAAAATATCAGAGCTCATCATACTGTGTGGAGTAAAAGTCACAGTATTCTTGTTTCACACATGTGTGAGTATACATATACTTGTATGCTGGCTTTATTGAGGATCTAAGCCAACACCGAAATATTGGAAAGTCACTTCTCTGGGGGACAATTGTTTTTAAGATACATTTTACATCCATGGTTCCAAACAGTTCTGTTGTAAACAACATTATAAAGCTTTTAAAGCCTAACAGGGCTTCCCTGGTGGCTCAAATGGTAAAGAATCTGCCTGCAATGCAGGAGACTCAAGTTGAGTACCTGGGTTGGGAAGATCCCCTGGAGAAGGGAATGGCTACCTACTCCAGTATTCTTGCCTGGAGGATTCTATGGACAGAGGAGCCTGGTGGACTACAGACTACAGTCCATGGGGTCACAAATTGTCGGAGAAAACTGAGTGGCTAACACTTTCACTTCTGGGCTTTCCTAGGCCCTCTTCCTGAAATGTGGAGGAATCAGCCTCAAACTACAAGCAGTTAGTTCTGATCACTTCACTGCAGTGGTCACTGAGAACAAATGTTCAAACTTCACGCTGTCATTTCAAGTGTTCACATAAGTATGAATTAAATGCTAGTTTTATGCCAGTCATTTTTGGTCTGAGGCATTTTTTTAATCAAGGTAATAGGTTTTGGCATGAGGCTTTTTTCTCTCTAAATAATCTATTTAGAATCAAAATGTAAGTAAAAAACTTAGTACATTTCTTTCACAGGACATTTAAAGAAGACAAATACTGTGTTTACTAAAAGAAAAACAGATACCTTCCATTTCCTCTGAGCCATATATTTTTGCAGCAATAGTTGGGATTTGAGATGAACTTTCGATTTTGAAGCTTTAGCAGGCAAATTATTCAGCCACTCATGTTTCAGGCACTGTGTGGCACTCATTCTGCAACTGTGAAATCAAACAGCAGGTGAGACTTTTAGCTGGGGTTGCCTTTTCTGGCTGTCCAAAATCTGTTCAATTGGTAGGAAGCTGAGTCAGTGAAAGAGATTAATCATTTGGGCAGATTCATGCCACATACTTAAAAAAAAATCCTCCTACCTAAAATTCTCATCCTTAAAAGTGCAAGAATGTCATCAGCAAAATGTTCCCAGCCCTCTATGGAAGATGTATTTCCCAGTGATTAATTACCATCTCCCAGAGTAGAGCTGGGGAATTGAGGCAGAACAGAAGTGGGGACAGGTGAGCCTGGAATTGCTCTCAAGAAGTAAAAGAACTTCACAGAGAATAATGTCAACTTGTTCTTCTGAATTAGAAATATTTTTCATCACACATAACTTTTCACAGTCAGGAAGAAACAAAACAGTCATGGCCAGGGAATGAGAGCTACCTCAGAGCCCAGATCTTGGGCTCTAACCACTTGTAGTTATTCCCATATGTCTGAGTATTGGAAAACTCAGTGGTCCAACCCATGACCTTGATAAACCTACTGAAAAGTAAGTAGGTCTTCATCTCCAAGAAATAATGTTTTACGTCTTTTATTCTGGGGAATAACAACTGCATATCTCAACTTTTTTGCCTATCAAAAGTGATAACTTTGAAATAGGCCTAATTTGTAAATATGGTCCTTTCTAAAACTCTGTCTAGATTTTATGATCCTAGTCACTTGTTTCTTAATTGATTTCCTTTGTCTCTTTCCCTGTTACCTTTTTTTCCCAAAGAAGTAGCAGACTAAGTAATCCCCTGGACAGAACTGGTCTATAGGACAAAAGGACCATTCACTTCAGCAGCCGTGCCCAGCACAGCCTGATTTCCACAGCATCCAGATGGATGGTCAACATCAGAATGGATCATGGGTGATACGCAATAAAGGGTACCTCTTCTCTTTGACCAGCAACCGAGAGACAAAGTCCTTGGCCTCCTCTGACAGCCCTTCAAAGGTATCAGCATCAAAATCCCAGTTACAGTTCACAATGAAATTCATGGTCTCTGCGTCTGTTTCTCCTAGAAATGGGGACAAACCACTGAGTCTACAAGGAGAGAAAGGACTGTCAGTATGTGGAATCCATGCCTGCCAACACACATTGACAAGACACAGAAGACTCTTACAAGGTCAAGCAGAACTAACCAGAATCAAGAAGGTTCAAAAGAAAAGCACCCCCGTCTGCCTTTCCCTAGGAGAAATCCACAGCACTCAGTAGAGGAAGTGGAAGGATTGGGAAATTGATGGCAGGAAGAGTGTTGGAAAAACTCCCTTATCATGCTCACTGCATTCCCTCTTGTTGTTTAGTCGCTCAGTTGTGTCCAACTCTTTGCGACTCCATGGACTGTAGCCCACCAGGTTCCTCCATCCATGGGATCTCCCAGGCAAGAATACTGGAATGGGTTGCCATTTCCTTCTCCAACATTCCCTCTTACCCTGAGTAAATTGAGGCCCAACCCAATACGCCCATTAGTCATGTACATTTGACTGAATTTTAAAAGAGCTTGGCATGTCTCAGAGACTACCCAGGCCTCAGAGGCCAAAGGAAAACTGGCTTTACTAGGCTCATCTAAAGGAGGGCAAAGAGACAGGACAACCTCACTGGCTGGCCTTGGGCCTCAATATTCCCCGACCTGGTGCAGCATACCCACAAAAGACAGGAAACAGCTAAACCGTAATAATAAGCCTGGGAGCAAAGCTTGATTTTGTTGTGGCCCTGAGGAAACGGCCGAGCGAATTGGAGAGAGAGGAGAATGTTTAGTCTGTGGTTGGCTCGCCTCTCAGCCCATCCTACCTCTACTTCCTCAGCCCAGAGAAAACGGGGAGCAGACGGACAAGGTTAGCAGACGCTTGAGCTGAGCCCTGCTCTGCCGGCCGCTCTCCTCACCACTTCAGTGCATTCCAGCCCCACTTGGACCGCAGCACCTCTATTTCCTCGCCAGAGGGCGCTCTCTCTAGCAGAAGCAGACATCAACCCAGAGGCTTCAGGGAATTAGTAACTCTGGGACCAGCCCACTAGCAACAACTGATTAGAGCCAGTGTATAAAGACTCCGACTCCCTCCCCCCTCAGCTGAACCAGCTCTCAGCGGGTCCCACAGTGGGTCCCATGTTCCTCACAGCATAAACTCCTGTTACCCACAGTGGTTGCTGACTCCACAGCACACAGTTTGCTAGTTGCCTTCCTTCCCCATTTCACTTCCCCACTCCTCTGTGTTTCTCTTGGGAACAACTCCCCAGTAAACTCCTTGCACTCAAATTTTTGCTGCTTCTAAGGATACCCAAACTAAGACAAATGACCTCCATCCCCAGTGGGAAACCAGGCCCCTGGGCACTCACAGCATGTAGGTGATGACTCCCACACTCCACATGTCCGTCGGGAACGAGACAAACTCATAATTGACGACTTCTGGGGCCAGGAACTCAGGAGTGCCAAAGTTCACCTTCAGCTTCTCCCGAGGCTTGTATCTGGGGAGGAGGGGTGCAGAGCACAATGGGAGTGAGCTCTGAGAGAAGCTGGGGATGCCAGGCTAATTCTTGTTGGGAGCTAAATACTCCTCAACCCTGGTGTCAGCCATGTTTTCTAGACCTCACATCCCACCACGTGTGGTTCACTGAGAAGTCATCACACTCTCAGGCCCTAAATGCAGACTTTCCTAAGTCACTGGGGAAAATAAGAAAACCACAGTCTTCCTCCTCCAGGTATTTGCAATCTGAAATGGAGGGAAGAGCCATATATCTTATTTGGCCTACAGTCACATGAATGAGGGCTTCCCTTGTGGCTCAGCTGGTAAAGAATCCACCTGCAATGCGGGAGACCTGGGTTTGATCCTTGGGTTGGGAAGTTCCCCTGGAGAAGGGAAAGGCTACCCACTCCAGGATTCTAGCCTGGAGAATTCCAGGGACTACAGTCCATGGGGCCATAGAGTCAGGCATGACTGAGTGACTTTCACTCACTCATTCACTCACATGAGTGAGCAAAGACTGGGTAGAAGCGGTGTGGGGAGTGCTGCTCTGTTGTGCAACATGGTTAAAGGGAAGATGGCGTGAGTTCTAGAAAGAGGCAAAATGCTCAGCGTCACTGCTCATCAAATCAAAACCACAGGGAAATACAAATCAAAACCACAATGAAATAGTACCCACACCATCAGAAAAAAATAGGAAATAGCAACTGTTGGCTAGGATGTGATGAAATTAGAACCCTTATTAGCTGAAATGTAAAATGATGCAGTTACTATGGAAAACAGTGTGGCAGTTCTTCAAAAAAACTTTCTTAAGAACTACCATATGATCCAGGACTCCTGTTTCTGGGTATATATCCAAAAAAATTAAAAGCAGCGTCTTGAAGTCATATTTATACACCCACATTCATGGCAGAGTATTCAAAACTAGCCAAAAGGTGAGAACAACCCAAGTGTCCATTAACAGATTAATGAATAAACAAAATTTGGTATATGCATACAATAGAATATCATTCAGCCTTAAAAAGAAAGAAAATTCTAACACACGCTGTAATTTGGATGAACCTCAAAGATATTACAGTAAGTGAAATAAGCCAGTCACAAAAAGACAAATACTGTATGATTCCACTAATATGAGGTTCCCAGAGTAGTCGATTCAGAGACAGAAAGTAGGATGATGGTTTCCAGGTGCTGGAGGCAGGAGGAAAATGAGGGGTATTTGTTTAATGGGTATAGAGTCTCAGTTTTACAAGGTAAAAGAGCTCTGGAAGTCAGCTGCACAACAATATGAACATAGTTAAAGATGCTTTTGCTCCTTGGAAGAAAAGCTATGACAAACCTAGACAGCATATTAAGAAGCAGAAGACATCACTTTGTTGATAAATTTCTGTATAGTCAAAGCTATGGTTTTTCCAGTAGTCATGTATGGATGTGAAAGCTGGCCTATAAAGAAGGTTGAGTGCTGAAGAATTGATGCTTTTGAACTGTGGTGTTGGAGAAGGCTCTTGAGAGTCCCTTGGACTGCAAGGAGATCAAAGCAGTCAATTATAAAGGAAATCAATCCTGAATATTCATTGCAAGGATTGATGCTGAAACTGAAACTCCAATACTTTGGCCACCTGATGCAAAGAGATAACTCACTGAAAAAGATCCTGATGCTGGTAAAGATTGAGGGCAAGAGGAGAAGGGGGCAAGAGAGTATGAGATGTTGGGTTGAATCATCGACATAATTGACATGAGTTTGAGCAAACTCTGGGAGAGAGTGTAGGAAGCCTGGGGTGCTGCAGTCCATGGGGTCACAAAGAGTCAGATACATCTGAGTGACTGAACAACAACTGTAACTGTTCTTAATAATTGTTAACATGGTAAATTTTATGTTACATGTATTTTATAAAATTACAAAAAAAAGATTAGAAAAAGTATTCTGGACATGAAGTTTAAGGGAGACTAGGAGGATAACTGATGGCTGCATGGAGAAATTTGATTTTTGCTCAATGGCAAAAGTTGATTTTTAGAATCATTCTTGAAAGAGAAGAAAATCCCTAGCTAAAACTTAATGGGCAGCAACAAAGGTGTCCTTCAGTTGGTGAGTGGATAATATAAGATATGGTACATCCAGACAATGGAATAGTATTCAACACTTAAAAAAAAGAAAAGAAACAAAGAACCATAAAGCCATGAAAAGACATTGTAAACATGCTAGGTCACTTTAGTTGTGTCTGACTCTTTGCGACCCTATGGAATGTAGCCCAACAGGCTCCTCTGTCCATGGAATTCTCCAGGCAAGAACACTGGAGTGGATTGCCATGCCCTTCTACAGGGGATCTTCCCAACCAGGGATTGAACCCACGTCTCTTGCATTGGCAGGTGAGTTCTCTACCACTAGTGCCACCTAGGAAGCCCTGAAAAGACATGGAGGAAACTTAAAAGCATATTGTCAAATGAAAGAAGCCAGTCTGAAAAGGTTACATACTGTATGATTCCAAATATATGACATTCTGGTAAAGGCAAAACTATGGAGACAATAAAAAGATCAGTGATTGTCAGGGTTAGGGAGGAAGAAGGATAAATAGGTAAAGCACAGAGGGTTTTAAGGGCAGTGAAGATACTCTGTTGATGAATACATGCCATCATACATTATTTGTCCAAACCCATTTGTTGTTGTTGTTCAGTTACTAAGTTGTGTCAGTCTCTTTGTGACCCCATGGACTGCAGCACCCCAGGCTTCTCTATCCTTCACTATCTCCCAGAGTTTGTTCAAACTAATGTCAGTTATGTTGGTGATGCAACCCAACTATTTTATCCTCTGTTGCCCCGTTCTCCTCCTGCCCTCAATCTTTCCCAGCATAAGGGTCTTTTCTAATGAGTCAGCTTTTGCCATCAGGTGGCCAAAGTATTGTAGCTTCAGCTTCAGCATCAGTCCTTGTAATGAATATTCAGGGTTGATTTCCTTTAGGATTGACTGGTTTGATCTCCTTACCATTCAAGGGACTCTCAAGAATCTTCTCCAGCACCACAATTTGAAAGCATCAGTTCTTCGGTACTCAGACTTCTTTATGGTCCAACTCTCACATCCGTACATGACTACTGGAAAAACCATAGCTTTGACTATATGGACCTTTATTGGCAGAGTGATGTCTCTGTTTTTTAATACACTGAATAGGTTTGTCATAGCTTTCCTTCCAAGGAGCAAGTGTCTTTTAATTTAATGGCTGCAGTCACCATCTGCAGTGATTTTGGAGCCGCCCAAAATAAAATCTGTCACTGTTTCCACTTTTTCCCTTTCTATTTGCCATGAAGTGATGAGACCAGATGCCATGATCTTAGTTTTTTTAATGAGTTTTAAGCCAGATATTTTCACTCTCCTCTTTCACCCTCATCAAGAAGCTCTTTAGTTTCTTTTCAATTTCGGCCATCACCTGCCTATCTGAGGTTGTTGATATTTCTCCTGGCAATCTTGATTCCAGCTTGTGATTCATCCATCCTGTCATTTCACATGATGTACTCTTCATGGTGGTGGTGGTGGTGATTTAGTCGCTAAGTCACGTCCACCTCTTGTGACACCATGGACTGTAGCCCGCCAGGCCCCCCGTCCATGGGATTCTCCAGGCAAGAATACTGGAGTGGGTTGCCATTTCCTTCTCCAATACCCTTCATGAGTACATCACTAATCCAAACTCATAGAACGTACAATATCAAGAGAGCACCTTAATTTAAACTACGGACTTTGGTTGATTATGATGTGTCAAAGTAAGCTTATCATTGTTGATGATGTGGGAAGCTTTGCATATGTGGGAAAGGGGATAAATGGAAAATCCCTGTTCCTTCCCCCCAATTTTGATATGCACCTAAAACTCCTCTAAAAGTTAAATATTTATTAAAAAAAATTAATGAATACTTTTCTATTTGCAGATACCATGCTAAAAGTTTTATTTATATAAACTTTCATCCCCATAACAGCACCATGAAGTAAGTCTATTGTCCCCATTTTACAGATGAGGCAATTGAGTGAGAAGAAAAAAATAAATATTCTGCTGAAGTGGCCCAATTCCCTTAGATCAGGGATATGAGTTTTCAAAATACAGTCTCTTCTCTTTCAAATTTGCCAAGAGCCAGGCAAATGCAAACCTTGAGCCAACACAGCCCACACCCATTCAGTGAACGTGCAACAAAGATCACCTTGGTGGCTGAGTTGTGACAGGAAGCCAGGAAGTGGAAGAAAGTGAAAGCCCTCCTCTGGCAGCCTGTTCCTCCCCTGCACTGGCACCTGCCTGGAGCCTCAGAGCCAAGCAGCCACACTGAGATGAACAGCCTGCCTCTTGAGGACAGAAGGTCCAGGCTCTCAGCCCCTGGACACCACTTTCTTTTTATTTATTTATTGGTTTTTTTATATTGTAGTGGTTTTTGTCATACATTGACATGAATTAGCCATGGATTTACATGTGTTCCCCATCCCGATCCCCCCTCCCACCTCCCTCTCTACCCAATCCCTCTGGGTCTTCCCAGTGCACCAGGCCCGAGCACTTGTCTCATGCATCCAACCTGGGCTGGTGATCTGTTTCACCCTAGATAATATACATGTTTCGATGCTGTTCTCTTGAAACATCCCACCCTCACCTTCTCCCACAGAGTCCAAAAGTCTGTTCTGTACATCTGTGTCTCTTTTTCTGTTTTGCATATAGGGTTATCATTACCATCTTTCTAAATTCCATATATATGTGTAAGTATACTGTAATGTTCTTTATCTTTCTGGCTTACTTCACTCTGTATAATGGGCTCCAGTTTCATCCATCTCATTAGAACTGATTCAAATGAATTCTTTTTAATGGCTGAGTAATATTCCATTGTGTATATGTACCACAGCTTCCTCATCCATTTGTCTGCTGATGGACATCTAGGTTGCTTCCATGTCCTGGCAATTATAAACAGTGCTGCGATGAACATTGGGGTGCACGTGTCTCTTTCAGATCTGGTTTCCTCGGTGTGTATGCCCAGAAGTGGGATTGC